ATGGTTGTTGTTGGAGACGGTCTGTGCTCGTTTAGTATGTTGCGTATAGAACAATTCGCCCCAGGCCCCAGGTACGCATCTTACTGTAATGGCTCTATACCGTCATACATACAAAAGACACACAAACACACGCACATGCACGAAACAATCAGACAGGAAAAATATCTCGCCGATATGTTTTGACAGAAAAAAAGAACACAAAAATAATGTTACTGGTGTATGCTTGATAAACCAAGTACACCAATTTCTGTTTGCGTACTGATGCGTCATTTGTGAGATTTATGCGCGTTTATAAGGCGTCTTGGTGCGAAATAAATCCAGTTGTAAGTCAGCACTCGTCTGTGTAGCGTGTTCCTCGTCCATTGTCTCAGTCGCGCTGTGCGTTCTTATTGTTTCCTATTCATGCAAATTTGGCCCACCGCCTGAAAAGGTTGCCGACGCCTGCGGTAGAGCATGAATATATATATATATATATATATATATATATATATATATATATATATATATATATATATATATATATATAGAGAGAGAGAGAGAGAGAGAGAGAGAGAGAGAGGGGGGGAAATTTACTAAAATTAATTTTTTAAACAAAAACCAACAATTCGTTAAAAACATCAAGGGTTCACTTTTATTGAAGGCTCTATTAAAATTTAAAGCTTGCTCGAACGCAGGCGTTGGCAACCTTTTCAGGCGGTGTGCCAAATTTGCATGAATAAGAAAAAATAAGAACGCACAGCGCGACTGAGACAATGCTGCCGTTTGGTTATTTTTGTTCATAGGGGGACAAAAAAAGTGCGCACACACACAAACATACACACGCACACACGCATGCACATCTCAGAAAAATTTTCTTCAACCGGACTCAGACTCACAAAACATCACTCACTCGGACTCACTGAGACTCAGATCGAGCCGTGAGTCCGAGTGAGTCCGCCGACCTATGAAGAGAACAGACTTTTGGACGTCCAATGAAACCATAGCACTCATGATGGGACAGGGACCACAGCGGACGTCCTGCCCTCTTTCTGTGGTCCCTGTCTTGTCAGTGTTACGGATGCACATATTTCAGTCATTGTAAAGATCGCTATCGATACGCGTCTCGCATGCTGACGTCAAATCTCTTTCATGCATGATCGATATCTGAGATATGAGAAAACCCTTCTTCAAAATGGTAACGTTCGCTTACATTTTGTTTAAATCCAACCTACCCTCCCCCTTCTCGCTATAGGATACATGCGCAAATGACTTTCAAGTTTTCCAGATAACAACCAACGCAGTATACGGTTTAGATGATGGGTTAATTTAAGCTTCGAGGAACACGCAGGCTTTCATGTACATAAAAAAGAGAAACGCCTCCTATGAAGTGTCTTTTCTAAAATGCCGCGTCTGCCGGCCCACTCTTGAAGCGGGAATGGCCAGTATACTAAGCTAAAGAGGGGGCGCATCTGTCGTGTTTTATCTGCTAAATTTACGTCGAATACTAAACATATCCAGCTTCTAAAATAATGAAACTTCTCTGATAAGTGGCAATGGAAACCGCGTAGCCATATTGTATATCTACTGGGATTGCACGTTTATAGTGTACATGGTAAAATGCAGTCTTGTACCGAGGTAGGTGAGTAGTGCATATAACCACGTTAGTGATTTACAGTCCAGTCCTTTCTGGCATTTCTCCGTACAGCGTGTGGGTGCAGGTTGGAATGGAAGCCGCAACGCGCGCCGCCTGAACCGCGACGCGCTGTCTGCGCTCATTGCAGGGGGCGCGCCTCGTCTTCGATGCCCTGGCAGTGTTTATCAGCCCTTCCCTGAGTTTCAAGGTTCGTCTGATAATAGATCCACGAGGAGCAAGCCGGGTGCGCCGCACGCAGATTGCAATGACAAACACATAGCTGCATGTGGAGCGAAAGCGAAGGTCGCTCCTTCGTGGCCGTCGACCAGTCACTCCTTCATCATGAGCGCGCGTATACATCGGACCGGAGCAATACGTTTATAGTTCTACTACTAACTGAAAGCAACAGACATATGCCTATACGTTGTGCGTATCGTGCGCGTGTTGTATTTTGAGCTAATTTCGCACCTTTCAACGAACTCTATAAATATGCCTTCGTTTTTCAACAAAGCCTCTTCTTACGTGTTGCAGTGTGCACGCACAAGGTGTGTGCTACACAAATTTGAAACAAGAAAATGATGTTTTTCCCAAGTTCGGTGTACGTAGACGAGTGGCGAATTGGGAAATTTGGAAACGGTGCATTCTAATCAGCACACAAAATGAAACACGCATATATATATATATATATATATATATATATATATATATATATATATATATATATATATATATATATATATATATATATATATATATATATATATGTATATATATATAACTTATCAACGTGTTGTAATATGTTAATAAAGAACGTTTTTTTTTAACTGAGTCTCACGAACGTTATTATACTCTGGCAGCTTTTAGTATACCTACAGATAGCCTAAACTTGGAGTATAACTATGGAATCGAACAGGAAGTTATGGATATTACTGCAGCTGCAAACCCGGAGAGCTGATACAGCTTGGGTGGGGTGCACGTGCTGGTGTGTCTTAAGAAAGCCAGCGGCCCTTTTTTGCCCCCCCCCCCCCCCCATCCCTCTTCGCTTACGCCTATGCTTGCAGGATCTGTGTCCGTAAAGAAAACTCTTGCGAATTGTTTCTAAGCGAACACGTTGAGCCAGATAATAAGCGGAGGTGAGACATCGTGGAGACATCGTGGCTGCGGTGGAATTGATATACTGTGACGATACAAAAAGCAGTTGTAAGGACTGTGAGTGTTGAAACAGTTGGTGCAACAGGACAAATCTTACGCGACGCCTTGAACACCACGCGCAGTCGGACAGAAGATATTTCACAGAGGACAAACGCCTTTCGCGCGCCACAATGTTCACCACAGCCACCACGAGTTGCGTCCGACGATCGAGCGAGTCAAGTTTTATTGCGTATTCGTACGTGCGCGCCTAAGTGCCCTTCGCGTTGGAGCGTAAACTAACGGGCTACCGGACGCAGTGCTTGCAAATGCATTTGGAAGTGTTAATAACGAACATTTTGCCATTTCTCAAACCACCTTTCCCCCATTTACCGCGCCCCATAGGCTCGATATTGCAAGTAGCTCGCGTATAACCTTGACAGGATTTCCGAAACGACCCCGCCGCGTTTCTGTCTCGTCATTTCGTATTTACTATTGCGGCGACGACCGTGAAGCTCCATGACGGAAGTCCGCGCGCGTATTCACCCAAGGTTTTTATTTAGCGCTAATAGGTTTCTAATATAGGTCGTAACGTTGCATCGCGTGACATTTGGGAGTACCACGGGTGCGTTTGATATCACCGCCTGCCCTTCGCATGCTGCTCGGCTTCGATACAGGCTGAGCGCTTTGGTAGCTGTAGCGTTCCGTTATCTGTACGGGCGAAGCTTTCAGAATTATTTACATTTTTCCTCAGTGAAAAGGAATGTGTGCGACTCGTGCACATCGTTGATTCGTACTGTGTTTCTAAGCATGTTTTTACATGTATACTGTAAAAAAAAAGGGGGGGGGGATGAGGGAAGGAAGAAAAGCTGTACCAACAACGACCGCAGGAATATTGGTTGACCCGTAGTAATTTCTCCCAGGGGTAAAGTTTAATGACGATAGTCTAGAAATGTTCCGTCTTCTGAAGTATGCAAGGAACCACTCGCTGATGTGCCCGCCCCTCCGTGGTGGTCTAGTGACTAAGGTACTCGGCTGCAGCTGACCCGCAGGTCGCGGGATCGAATCCCGGCTGCGGCGGCTGCATTTCTGATGGAGGCGGAAATGTTGTAGGCCCGTGTACCCAGATTCGGGTGCACGTTAAAGAACCCCGGGTGGTCGAAATTTCCAGAGCCCTCCACTACGGCTTCTCTCATAATCACATGGTGGTTTTGGGACGTTAAACCCCACATATCAATCAATCCAATCAATCAATCGCTGAAGTGCCCATAAATTTTAGAAGAAATCCTTGATAAGCGCATGATGCACAGAGACAGGCGGCGCAATTAACAAAAGATGACGGACGAAGTGAGGGGGCATGCAGAAATTGCGCCCAGTCTGGTCAAATTTCTTGTTGCATAGAGAAGAATCTGTAAGACATTTTGCATGTAAATATGCTTTGTTCTACTCATATTGCACATATGTGTATATACACTGTTCACCGAGACATTTTCATTTGCGCATAATCTTGCATTATGCACATTGTCATGTAAACATTGGGATGTGTTTGCTTACGTTAAATGATGAGTGCCCCGTAATCTGGTTTAAACAAAAAAAAGTAGGAAGGGAGCGAGAAAAACGTTACATTGATGTTTCTAATCAACGTGCCGAGTTTCGACTGACGACAGTGCGCCACGAACTGCTCACTTTCCCACGACGATAATAGTTTTAGGCCAAAGTAAAAACGAGTTTCACGTGACGATATATACTCTTTACAGATGGTGAGAGGGACTTCAGGGAGTCCCAACCTGATCCACTATTGTATCGCAGGTAATTTACAGTGGGCTCTGTGTTTATGTTTACGTTTCAACGGTGGATAGTATGAGGGGGCCGAAGGCGCGAAACGAGCCTATCGAAACGCATCGCCGATAGCAGATGACACCGGAACGCGGAATGCGCACTGCAAGCCGATAGACACACGCGTAAGACCCGTGGGACGCTGTTGTGCATAACGGAATTTGCGCTGAAGAGCACGTGCGTGCGTCAGCAAAGATACATGCGGGGAGAAGATCGCGTCGCTGAGTTATTTTTGGAGTGTCGCTGAAAAGGGGGAAAATAAAACAAAAGAAATGTAAAAGAAGGGCCGATAAACGGTGACGAGGCCACTCGCTGGTCAGGAGAGGGCTCAGTTGACCACGCCGACCCTCTCGCCCAGTGGCGAATACGCGGCACATCGCCACTGTACTCCGACTCAGCTGAGCGCCTGCCGTCTTGTTTCCAGCCCCCACGAGGACCGCACGATGCCCGAGAAGAGCAACAACGGAGGCTCCAAGGACAACGACCGCTGGAAGGTGCGTATACATCGGAGAAGCACGCATACCCGCATTTTAATGAACAGCCAAAAGGTGGTAGCGAGCATTCCGCATGCACGCATGGATATGTGTGGCTTCGTAGTGCCAGAGATATTGATGTGCCATGCGAAGGGGTGAAAAGGGTCAGTGGGGTTTTGTCGGACTCGGTTTGCGCACCCTGACCCCGCCACGGGGATCGAGTGGCTATGGCACGCGGCTGCTAACCCGCAGGTCGCGGGTTCAAATCCCGGCCGTGGCGACCACATTTTCGTTGGAGAAAACGCTTGAGGCCTGTGTACTTAGATTTAGATGCACGTTAAAGAAACCTAGGTGACCGAAATTTCTGGAGCCTTATACTACGGCGTCTCTCATAATTATATTGTGGTTTGGTTTTGGGACGTTAAACCCCAACAGTTAGGTAATAATAATAATAATAATAATAATAATAATAATAATAATAATAATAATAATAATAATAATAATAATAATAATAATAATAATAATAATAATAGGTTCACACATTCTGGAGTGTGTGTGTGTGTGTGTGTGTGTGTGTGTACGATAAGCGCCCCGGCACCCAGCTCTTGCGTCTCGAAATAATCAGCCTGTGCTCTAGCTTCGCAATAATCCGGCGCAACTGGAAGCGCGCTCTTCCTTGAATCGAAGGCGCAGGCGGTGAAGCGGCGACGCAGCAGGCTTTACGCGTGCTCGAACCTCGCGCGCTGATTCTCCATGGTGTGTGGGTCAAGGCCGGTTGCGTGAAAACGTTGGGACAGTCGCGTTTCGCCAGTTGTACTAGCTGTAAGGAGTGATCGGAAAATGATAGCTCGAAATTCCCATTTAGCTCGTGCTGTACTCGCACATGTGGCGCCTCGTGGCCGCAGGTGATAGGCGTCTGCACAACACTAGCAGCAGCTTGAGCAGTGTCAGAAGCACCGATGACTTATTTCCATTCGGCTCATCTATCTGCGTTATAAACTCCCGTTGAGGTTTCTTACACGAACTTTCTTCCGCCATTCCCGCAATCATTCGGAAAACGTGGTGTAATCAAGCTTTGGCAAATGCGGCGAGCGACTTGAAATCGTACTGAGCTGATCGAAACTTTTAACTTTTATTTTTTCTACAATAGTCGCTCAGCTTTTCTACAGAAGTAATAAAGGTTGCAAATCTACCTATGCCCCCCTCCATTGTCTATTTAAAAAGAAATTATATATATATATATATATATATATATATATATATATATATATATATATATATATATATATATATATATATATATATATATATATATATATATATATATATATTCGTTGCGAAAAAAAAATGGCTGGTGGTTGGATGACTAAGCCCCGACTTCGCCAGTGATTTCTTCTCCTTGTGTGTGTGTGTGTGTTTTAAATCAAATCAACTTTATTGCAGATCTCAGCACACTTTACGCTTTACTCAATGCACTTTACAGAATAAATATAGAGATGGAGGTCCGATAGCACTATAGGCTGCAGGACAATCTCCTAAAAAATGTTGCCAAGAATGGTGAATTGATTAACAATGACAGCAATGTTAAAACAAGGAAAAGCTTGTGATGTAATAAAACAATAGAAAATCAGTTACAGGAAAACGATACTATATGCAAACAATATTCTTTACTAACCAACATAAATCTAGCAGTTCAGCAAAAATAAGTAGCTTCATTTTTTTTAATATTCTTATCTAGGAACAGTGTTTAATATGGTATGGTAACGAGTTTCAGCGATGAAAGCAAAGATTTGATTCTTAGAGCCGATCTTAGACCAGAAAATAATGGCGCTTTGGAGCAGCCGTAATAGTTTACGGAGCAGAAAAATGCTAGTTTAAAGCACCAATTGGTGTTTTCGGAGCAGTTGGCAAAAGTATTCCAAACAACTCATGCACATTAAAGAATAATTTAAACGTGTCATAATTATTATTATTTATTGATAAACGTATTTCACATACAATAACCACTTCAAATTCAAAGAAACAAGTTATTAAGCACATGGATGGTCATTTAACACAAAGATCAGCAACACATATTTAAAACACTGGCACCTGTGGCAGAAATGATATAAAACAGATAATATTGAGAGCACCAAATCACAAAAGTAGCCACAATCTCACGCAATCATTGCCAAATCAACAAATTCCAATCGGTGTGAGTTCAGCTTGTTATTTTCAAAATTTCCCATAATGGCCAGCATTGAAGATTTTAAAAATAAAATAAGCTAAGATAGTCATACACGTAATGTCAGTTCTTGTGCAATTAAAGAGGTAAAAGCTAATAAAGTGGTAAATGCGGTAATAAAGTGCTGAATTCACACATCAAAGTTGTCACAGCAGCAGTTATTATTCACTATGATATACAAATAATATCACACAATTCACCAAAACAGCCTCCTTGATATATATATATATATATATATATATATATATATATATATATATATATATATATATATATATATATATATATATATATTGTGATAGTAGTAGACAGATTATTTATGTTTTCGTTTAGTCTTGCTGGATGGTCACACCGGTTAAAGTTTACTGTTTTCAGTTTCCCAGATCCATTTTGTAGTAGGTTCGGAACAGTTACTTACAAATATTACGCTTTGGAAGAGCATTTTTCTTTTGGAGCAATTGCAACAGCACTTACATTCAGTTCCAAGTGCATAAAACGAAAAAAATCAGTGTGTGTTTCGTAATTGGTTCAGACAAAAGATAGTGAAAATTTTTATTTGACGCAAATATTGTGGAGTATGTGTTGAAAATATCATATAGACAAAATACACTTGATGATATGACATAGCTCAATGACTTAAACAGATGAATGGTGAGATGACATGCAAATAAACTAGCAGTAGGGAGTATATCGCAGTTATCATGATGATGCACGACTGCGGTATGAAAGTTAATAGTCTAAAGGTTTGGTTTTGTGTATGCTGAATGGTAGATCAATTAGTTAGAAATACACTGCCTTATGTAGCGATACAATAATTGTTGTGGCTGGGAATGAAAGCGTGATATATTCTACCTTTATTAAGTGGGAGTGTTAAAACAGTTACGCACTCTGATTTAAATTATAACACTGTAAGCTAGTTATTTTCGGAAGAAAGCAAAGCGTAAATGTAAGGGCTCGTTTTCTTTGTTAGACACACTATTAATGTCGAACTAACGTACAATAATACCAGGGAAAGTATATATGAGATGTTATTAAAAGTACTTGTAATGTAAATGTGAATAAAGAAAAGTAGGCGAAAAAACAACTTTCCGTAGGCAGGATCCCAACCTGCGACCTTCGCGAAACGCGTCCGATGCTCTATGCCACTGAGCTACGGTGGTGGTCATCCCTCTGTCCACTTTGTAGGGTATATATATGCATTTAAACGTGGAAGAGTCACTCAGCGCCACCTCTTGCCATTATGGGGAGTGTGGAACACTCGTTATAGCCTGCTTGGCGTCAGGCAGTATGTGAGCTTTGTACGAGAATGGCTGCTCACGAATATTGTCTGTTAGTGGCTATATTGTCTGTTAGTTCTAATTATTATTTTCTGAAGTACGTGATTCGCTTGTAATAGTTCATATTCACAGTAGGACAGTTTAGAATCACTTTAATCAGAGCTTGCGACTCGGAGTAACAGACCAGGGAAAAAAAATACGCATAAACACATTTTTTTGCCTCACCGTTTTAGTATATTCTGGTTTAAAAAAAGAAGAGAGAATCAGTGCTTCTATAGTATCGTAACTTTGTACTGTAAGAGTTAGGCGTGAAACGAAATGACATGCGCGACGTGAAGTAGACGTGTGAAGGAATTTCAATAATTCTGCGCAGTCATAGCGTTCAACCGCATCTCTTGTAGTCCAGCCCATGACAGTAACGTGAATGAGAACATTATTGTCTTGGCTAATTGAATCACGACCTTCATCACGCAACTGAACTTAAGCAAGGCGTTCCACAAGGTTCTATCTTAGGACCCTTGTTATTTATACTTTATATAGATGATATATGTAATATCCCATACACAGAAAAACTAGTCATGTACGCAGATGACACGAATGCCTTTTTCAGTGCTGATACAGTGGCCGATCTTCAAGTTACTGTAACTAATTATTTAAGACACCTGGAACTGTGGCTCCATGAAAACAAGCTTGACTTAAACGCAAGTAAAACAAAATATGTTATATTTAGGCCTCCTAATAAGCCATGCATTACACTGAATTTCTCCTTTCAAGGCACCACGCTGGAATGTGTTAAAACGCAAAAATTTCTAGGAGTATGGTTTGAGGAAAACATGTCATGGAACATACATATATCAAAACTTGTCTCTGAATTAGGTAAAACTGTTGGCTGCATGTATAAGTTATCAGACCTTGTACCATTATGGCTTAAAAAGGCTATATACTACGCCCATTTCTATTCTCGGTTATCTTACTGCGCACTAGTATGGGCAAAAACGTCTGCTCAGAACCTCAACAAACTAGAGACGTTACAGAAAAAGGTTCTTAGAATATTTGAAAAATTTTATGGGCTTCCTAGCGAACTACGTTCTCATCAGCTCTTTATAAATCATGATCTTATTAGAGCAAGTGACCTTTACACATATAAACTAATACTTTATATTCAGAAAAACAAACTTCATCAGCATTCAATTGACAGCTCCTGTCGATACGCTCTCCGAAATCAACTAAGACCAGTTCCCTTTTCTCGCACACGTTACGGAGAATGCCTTCTACACCACCAGATACCAACAATATTGAACAAATTCTTAACCAGTATCGACTTCGAACTGCCTGAACGTATATTCAAGAAACATGTACGAAGTATGTTGTTACACGCATAGGAATTGCTCAAACAGCACTAGCTATCTTTCGTTATCATGTTTTTTACATGTTTTCTTTCCTTTTTGTATAAGAATTGTTGTTTTGCGCATGTGCCTACAAGATTTATGCGACCTACGTGAAATTATGTATGTATTTTGTTCACTAAAAGGAAAAAGTACTAAGCTCTCATTTTGGCTTATGCATGTACAGTGAATTACGCGATATTTTTGTAAAATGCCTGCTGCTCTGGAACGGGTTCTTGGGCTCTCTCAAGATGTCTCCGACATCTTTTCGCCTAAGGACCTCCGACTTGATGTTGTTGGAAATAAACTTGACTTGACTTGACTTGACTTTATAATCAACACTGTAACATTTTCAACATAGCATTTAGTGAGAGCACCACTCTATTAGTCCACGCTTAGTGAACGATGCAGTAATGACAATCTGAGTGCATAGTTGATTGGGTCATGGGTTTTGATGTCTCAAAGTGACTCAAGCTAAGCTAGAACTCTTGCTAGCTGACGACAATCAGCCAGCCTGAAATTTCTTTTTCTTCTTTCGAACAACCTCATAAATTTAAGTAAGGATGATTACCTTAAAGCTCCGCACCGTCACTCCAGTAGAACTAACAACGACAAATGCATACACCCATTCCTGTCACGTTGTAACACGTTGAAGTTTTCTTTTTTTCCCGCAGCTATAGAGATGTGGAATGACTTGCCGAATGACGTTGTCAGTGCACAATCACCTGAATCATTTTCATCGCTGTTGGAAATTAGTTTGGAGGCATTGCAATAAATCCTGTGCTATCTTCGCCGAAATAAAGGTTGAAACAGTGTATCGCACATGTGCTCGCACATCGCTACACGCGCTTAACCACCTGCATCTGTATATCAACACATGTGCATTGTTCGTTTATTGCTTTATACTGTTTTTGCGGTTTGTGTTGCATATTTTCCATTTCCTTTCATCTCCGCGATATGAAGTGTTATTTGTTCTGTACGCCCTCTCCTGTATAGGCCTGAAAAGGCCCACAGTATTGAATAAATAAATAAATGAATAAATAAATAAATAAAAGCTATATAGGGGAGGGCTCCGTATAATTTGGACAACCTGAGATTCTTTAACATGCACCTAACCCTGAGTACGCGGGCCTCCAACATTTCGCCTACATCTAAAGGCCACCGCCGCGGCGGGTATCGAACCCGCGTCTTTCGGGTCGGCAGCCGAGCAGCGTAACCAATTGGACCGCTGCGGTGGCCGGAGTCCCGTAGACTGTATTTCTGTATTCCTCCTCAGAGTTCATTACTTGCCTGGAGAAACGTCATTCATTCTAGAAACACCGTTGAAACGTCGGCATCTTTATTTTTTCACTACCTTTCCCGAGAACGCTTATTGAATTGGTCTGCCTGCACGCTGTGTAGCGTCACTCTTTGGTATGCTGCTTGGACTTTCTTCGGTTACAATAGACAATCAGGCATGCAGTTTTTCCGGCTTTTGTTCCATTCAGCTGAGAGTTTGCAAAAAAAAAAAAAAAGATTGGTGCCCTTCAATTAATGGAGACTGATTAGCGTTGGTTTGCGCGTATATGAAGTACAATCAATTGGCCAGCTATACATGTATGGCGGTCCAACTGATGAAGCTCCGCTGAATAGAATCGGTTAAACGGCAATTCCGTTTTCTTTTGAGGGAGTTTAGTTTAGCCATATAGCTCATCCTAAATTAAACACCCGGAGCTGCACCATATGTAGCACCGCTAACGAGCCATGTCAAATCCGATACTTCTGTAGCTGTGGCTTCATTTAGGTAGGCCAAGTCGAATGAATGCGAAAAAAAAAAAAAAACGGGGGACTGGATGGAAAAGTAAAGAAAAATAGACCGTCTAAAGGGACTTATGTCTCGGTTCACCGTACGCTGTTTGGTGGCTAAAAGCGACGTCACCCCGTAATTTTGAGAAAGCGCGCCGTGAGTTCACTGGCGGCCCGTGGCTGCTATGCGCGGCGTTTCCTGCGCGGCGTTGCTGGCGCGAGAAGAAATGCACTGACGGACGCGTCCCCGTTGCAGGTGAAGGCGATTCCGTTTCCCCCGTCGGCGGAGAGGAGGGACACGGGTGAGTGTGATGCAAACTCTCGCCGGGGTCCCGTGGAGAAGCCATCCTTCGGGCATCCGGGAGAAGCGTGCGCCTGTCCACTTCTCTTTGCGCAGGCTTCCGGGAATACCAGCCCGGCGTGCTGTATCCTCGCTCGGGAAGCAGCAGTCCGACTTCGCCGCAGCCCACTCAAGGCGGATGGAGTAAGTGGAGCGACATGACGCCGCGCGATCGCACCGCCAGCCGCAATTGCGGAAGGCCGGGCCAAGTGCACGCGCCGAACCCGCGAAAACGAGGTCAGACGTCCCCGAGTGCGTCAGTGCTGACAGTTGTGATTTCACGAAACGTGAAAGGATAAACTCCGCTCCCGCGCCTTGTCGAACGCGTTGTCCGGGCGCAAACAATAGGAGGTGCCGCATGTCCTAATGATGGTCTGGAGGAGTGACTCTCGAATTCGTCATCTCACCCTGTGGTCACTGGTGCGAAGCGAGCGGGGTAACCCCCGCTTTGTGCGTCACGAAGCTGATTACGCGCGTATACGTTCGGGGATTGCGCATTGAGCACAACAGAGGAACTCGTTGTCCATAATGCTGCCAGAAAGAACAAGAGTGCGTACACGGTACATAAGAAATGTCTGTAAACGTTCAGCGTATGTTCCAAGAGGGCCGAGACGACGTTCGTACGAAAACACCATCGTCATAAGCTAGCTACTTAGGTTGCTAATTAATTCATGCGGCGTATCGAAATTTACATATTGTAGACGGCGAATCTTAAAGCGGTATTCGCTCAGTCGACACCAATTTTCATCGCCGCAACCGATTCGATATCTGCGAAACACCCACTCAAGTAAATTTAAATTGCGCTTAATAATTATCTGATTAATTATTCTGCAGTAAATATTTCAATTGGAACATAGCCGATGAGTTTCAAAGGCATTTGCACTTTCGAATGAAATAACACTTTTGCACAACATTGCATTTTATTTACCGCTACAGCTTCATGGTGCGTATCCTATAATTCGCCCCCCACCCCCCATTTCATACGAAGACAACACGCCTTGCGAACACATCCGCTACAAATTTTCCTCTGTGTATTACAGAACAATTATCAGATAGCTAATTGTTGAAACAAGTCCTTCACTTTGCAATTTTATAGGCCACCTGATTTGTGCGCTTTTCAAGTTGACACATGTCGTGGGTTCAAAAACGTAAGGTGGTTCCCATCTGTGCTCCGACGCGAGAGTGAACTAGTTTTCTTTGTTCACGAATAATATGATAATGAGAAAGCAGGAACACCGAGTTAGCTCATAAGGAACGATTCGTATCATACATTGTGATACCAGAGATGGTAATAATTAAGCTCTGGTGCTTGTTTTCACGCTGTCTACATGAAATAAGCACGTATTCCTGCACTATGCTCCACGAACTTGAAAAAAAAAAAAAAAAACACATCGATCTTCGATGTAATTGGTGGGATGGCAGTCTCACTGACGGGTATTTTGAGGTCTTTCCGAGGGCCGCCCCGCAGGACGGCACCACGCAGAGCATGCCGGGTATTATTGCATGATATGACAAAAGCCTACATCCTGCATGGTATATACCCACGAAATACCGTTATGTGACTGTTGCCAACAGTTTCTTCGAGAGCCGATTTTGCTGCTATTTTTTTCTGTTGTTTGTAAAATCCAGTTGAAGTAATTTCCCCCATATACTGCAACATCTTAATCCTACCATCTCATCTAGGTTCGATTTTTATCCTTTTCTTTTCCCGATACGCCAGGTATATTGACTATCGTAGATGGCTCTAATAATCTAATAATAATAATAATAATAATAATAATAATAATAATAATAATAATAATAATAATAATAATAATAATAATAATAATAATAATAATAATAATAATAATAATAACCTAATTCACCTAATAAGGTTATTCGTCTTTGCAGCAGAGGTGTCGGCGCTGACGTCAGGATTAAGTTTGACTTCGTTTATAGTAATGCTCTAGCGCGGCTTACGTTTATGTGCTTTAATATATCGGGTTTGCTCTTTCTGCAGCTCTTTGAACCAGCGTAAATTATGAAAAGTACGTTTTTTCACGCATCTGCGGTCTCCTTACGTTTCATTTTAGTATTTGCACAAAGTTGCGGGATGCAGTAAAGTGAATCGGATATGAAGCATCGGCTTTACCGTTAGTACCCTTTACACGCGTGCCGTATTAGTCTTGGGGAAGGTCGGGCTTCCGAAGATGACGTGCATGACCGATCATTACTGGATAAAAACGGAATTGTTCGTTTGCGATCTCTGCAAAGCGGCACCGCTTACACGAAACAAAATGAGGCTAACAAACTACTTAGTTCCTTAGCTTGATGTAAGAAATTCTACGTAATAAGAAGCAAGCAATGTTAATAAGGATTGCCCCTGTTTAAATGTGCAGAAAAGAAAAAAAAAGAAACGAATATGTACCTTGGTTCGCCAAGGCCAAGTTAAACAGCTCTTCTTGCTGGAATGCATTGGGACAGAAGCACTCCAAGTTTGCGAAAGCTATTGTAATTTTTTTTTTGTGAATATGAGAACGATTTATTTTGATATATATTCTACTACTTTCGCGTCCTCCACCACTCACAATTGGTCGATCGCGGTGATTAGCCGGAGCGCCGCTCGGACCTCTGTAGTAGTCGCCTATTTACCCCCGTATTCAGAGACGCTCCTTGACTTGAACTTGACTTGAAACCGCCTTCTATGCAGCGCTTTTGAAATGCGTCTGTGCGTTTGTGCTGCCTTGGCACCGCCTAAGAACAGCTTGTTCGAAACGCGTTTGTGCTGCATTGAAGTCGGTGCCAAGTGAAGTTGAAGTCAAGGAGCGTTAGTTCTTCAACGGCAAAATTCACGAAATCGTTCACGGACTACTGCTGCAACGCATTACCTTGGAATACTTGCACGGCTAGCTTTATTCGTTGAAGGCCTCGAGGCTCCAGAACGACAATTGAGCGCCAACACAGGAGGGTAGGCTGCAGTGTTAGGTCGGCAGATGACACCTTTAGAACTACAAACGGAAATCCTTTCGCGATGCGATAGCATGGAGACTCGTGTGTCAGAAAGCATAAACCACCTCAGGAACAAAAGATGGGTTAATGTTCCCTATGAATCTGTATGAGGTTCCTACCGGTGACCTCATATAACAGAAATACGTTATTGTCAACGGACAGCGCAGCGAAAACTTTTTTCGTGGCGAGGAGGGCGGGAGGGGGTCAACCATACTTTATGAACTTTCGTGCGTGCGTTACTATTTGTGCGCGTATATACACAGTCAGTCAGTCAGCCACTCACTCAGTCGGTCGGTCGGTCAAGCAATTTGTCGAGAGGTCCTGAGGAGTTTAAGCCGCCAGGGGGTCCACGATCGAGGGACACCCTAGCAGCCATTATACCGTGGGTGACGCCCGAGTCTGAGTGGGAACGTGGTGGCGTTCGCCAGTTCTTGGGCCCTCTGGAGTTGGCGGTGGAGCTCGGAGCTCCTGAGTGCCTCTTCTCAGTCGGGCTCACTGGTGAGAGGTATCTGAGCAGGTGACGCGGGACATTGCCATAGCATTATTTTCGAGAGTCAACATAAACTTCTGTACAATCTGGGTATTGTGGGGTTATGTCCGAGTTGTAATGGCTGAGTCGGCCTCGTGATGGGCACGATCTCGTTTGCAGCAGGCGAAAGGCTACCTCTTTACTACACACGCAGAATAGAAAATGTTCCGGTGGCAGGGGGAGGGAAAAATTGAACACTTTTCCCCGCCCCTCCTTGTGTGCATCAGTGTTGTCAATGGCTGATTACTAAATCCTCTCTCTTTGTATCTCCTTTCTCTCTCTTGTGTTGGCCGCAAACTTCTTCACTTAATTGCTCCAGCCAGTTAGTTCAGTAAAAAAAAAGAAGGAGAAAGAAAGAATGACTAAATCCGAAAAAAAATTATTTACATTAGAAAAGACGCGTCATTGGCACGAAATGTGAAAAGACGCGAAATCTTCAAGCTAATCTATGCGGCCGCACAATCGCGTCACTGCTCCCATGTCCAAGCGTGGCCAAGAATGCGCAAGGAATTTCGCCTTCGTTTCATTGTTTAGCTTGATGTCCCCCCCCCCTTTCTTTTTTTGCCGAAGAAAGATTACAGCAACGAGTCTTTCTAGCGTACATTATAAAACTCTTGCCAGTGCCGGGAACCAGAAGAGCACATACGCTCGATAAGCTCCCCACCTGCGATAACTGCAGCGTGCAGACCATGAAGTGTCTATTATTTCTTTGAGGCAACACTGATAAGAAGGCTATGAAAGAGCAGCAGCAACGATATAACAAATATAAGGTTTAAGTCCAGGCCAAACATTTACTTCTTAGGGGTCTCTGCTGGGACCATGTCAGTCTTCACAGATCACAGCCCACTGTCTCAGTGCAAGCACATGCTATATATATATATATATATATATATATATATATATATATATATATATATATATATATATATATATATATATATATATATATATATATATATATACGCGCATGTGCTTGCACTGAGACAGCGGGCTGTGATCTGTGAAGACTGACATGGTCCCAGCAGACAGAGACCCCTAAGAAGTAAATAAAGGTGGTTCTACACTACTTTCGTTTTCTGCAGATTAATTTTAAGACCTACCTTTCTGCTGTCCTTGTCTAATTCAGTAATCATGAGGTGCAATTAGTCCCCTGAGTTACTCAGCAATGCAATGTTACGGCGAAGCGCAGCTAGGTTACTAAGGTGCTCTCCATTAATTCTTATACCCAACCCTTCCCATTCTAGGCCTCTGAAAACCTCCTGTAAGCATGCGGTAAATAGCATTGGATAGATCGTATGATTTGTATCCCCTTGTCTTCCACCCTTTTTTATTGCTATTCTGTCCCTTTCTTTATTCGAGCCGTATGGTGGCAGTTGATCCGCTATAGGTTTCCAGGATATTTCCTGATTCGCTATAGATTTCCGCTATAGACTTCCAGGAAATATCCAGGATATTTATATATCGGTCAGCACGAAATCCGGCGAGTGAGTCCAATCAATTTCGAAAGCTCTGCCAGTTTTATTTTGTCTGTGGTGTTTGAGCCTTTCATGCGTTGACGTTTCATAATGAGGTTCTTTGTCTACTGGGACAGCTTGCTAGTGTGCTGCCTGAATACCGTACCTACAAC